CCCATTGTGTAGCTTTGTACTTAATTACAAACAAACAAACTTTTTACTTAGTAATAACATCTGAAGTTCAAGTTCAGTAAATCGTCTTTTAAGAATCATCGTATTTCTCACTCTTTCTGATAAAAGTATTTAAAAATATGATGTCTATGGTCTCTGTGGTTTAAATGAAGATGAACGTGTTTTCTATCTGTTGCAACGCTGTTCGAAACATAAGTTTGGACAACTTTGTTTTTCATATATTTCTATTTTCTCTGGTGCTTGAAGCTCCTTCTGCTCTTTTAAAATGTTTCGGAATTTTCTATAATAAAATAGTTCAACAAATTTTAGTCTAACGTTCTATGAACTGAAAGGATTTTCTCTAATATTTTTTATTACAAACTCAAAAACGCATTGACATGTGGGCAATAATTTTCACATTTGCTTATATATATATATTACAGACAAAGCAATAATTTCCGATCAAAGTAAGTTATGTACTTACAGCGAAACTAAAAAATTGACCTGGCCATTAGCATAGCTAATTAAATATACTTTTCTTACATATGCATTTATAAAGATTACATTACATTATTTCATCGAGTAGGTAACGATATTTACGCTGTTAACGGTATTTTTGGCTGTAAGCCTACCTAATAATATCTCACGAAGTTTGGCTAGTTTAGGAGCTTTAGGTTAGTCCTGAAATCAAATTCTAATAAACCATGCAAACTAGTCTATATAATACAAGTTTAATGACTGACGATAGATTAAAACAGATGTAATTGTGTTCGATAATGGGAACAATAAATAAACAAAATGGCTTATCTTAGTTAGTTAGTTAGTTATTTCTGGGATCCAATAATAATTTTGTTTTTATATGTTTCAGTGTGATTTTTCGAAGCGTCTAACCACCGCTGGGATTTTGCATGAAAATACTACGAGAAGATGTCTTTTCTGTATCACTTTACTCGTTAAATATTATGTATATATTCTATTATTTTTGTTATATTTACAATGGTTTGTGTGTTGTTCAGTAATGTTTATACGTTTATTATTTGTCTTACAGTGTTATATCTCATTGTCTTTCATATTTCAATTAATTTGATGTGTATACATATATATATTTTAGAGCACGTTTGTTACAAATATATTATGCTATACGAACTTCAATATCTAGAACACAGATAGTTATTTTAAGTTTTTTCCCTTCTTCTGGGTATTCTTACAATGCATTGTTTTGAAAAAAGTGAAAAGTGTGACTCGTATGGCACGATTTAGAAAAGAATCAGGAGTTCTGTGAGTAGTAACTGAGTTTGTATCAAATCCAGGGGAAACTCTTCAATAAATATGTACACGTTCGTTTCAGTGATTATGATATATATCACAATGTTCTTTTAGTGGTTTATGGCCTTTTATCTTAGGAGAATGATAGCTTGGATTTTTTAAATAAACGATTTGATAAAAACGAGAAAGCACGGTCGCATGTTTTCTCGATATTGAGAAAGCATTCGACACTGTATGGCACAATGGTTTTAGATTCCTCATGCCAGTATTATTCGCTGATTATCAAACTTTTTGGAAAACAGATAATGTAGAATCCATGTTGAGGGAACTTTCTCGGAGTCTTTCACTCCTGAGGCATGTGTTCCCCAGGGAGGAGTAGTTAGCCCTATTCTATTTATTATGTATGTTAACAGTATGCTTCTAAAAGATCCAAATCACAGGAACTCGTCACAATTTGCAGACGATGTGGCAGTTTGGAAAAGTGTTCCCACTCCATCTATAGCAGCCACAAATCTACAACCTCAGTTAAATAGGATAATCGAATACCAAAAATATTGCATTGAAATTGATGTCCTAATTAGTAGTTTTTGCAAAATTAACAAAACACAAAAAAGACCCACCAGAACTCTATATGAACGGAACACTTTTTCAGACTACGACATCAGCAAAATTCTTAGGACTAACGTATGATTCTAAATTAACGTGGATCAAACATTTAAACAATATATAAACCAAAGTTTGGCAATGCACGAACTATGCCAGAGTTTAACGGGTAAAAACAGAGGAGCAACAGCTGTTAACATAATCAATATTTACAAAACATATATATACGTCCAGTTACTGAATATGCATCACCTGTATAGATAAACGTAGCACCTAAGCCATATTAAAACTAAATTACAAACAATACAGAATTCAATACTTACAACAGCATACAAAGTACCAAGATCAACGTCCTCAAAATTAATGCACAATTATGAAAACATAGGAACTATAACCGATAGACTCCTACATAGTTCGCTAAATTATTTCGCGAAAAATTGGTACAAGAATGACTTACCATGCGAACTTGATCGTTACTGCATACTTGATGAAGATAGCCCTAAGTACCTCTCTCATATTAATATATACATAAGAAATAAAAATAAATTGAGGCCACCTGATGCTAGATTACTAAATTATCATTAGTTGTAACTTAACTGTGACAGTATTAAAAAGGGGTATATATATATATGTCAATGCTCTCGTAGAAATTTAAAATTAACCGAAAAATATGGAAAATGCATTTTGAACTGTCCGCTAAGTGTAGAACTTTACATACACGAATGAAGAGAAAGTATATTTAACACATCAATATTAATATAATTATCTACGTGAATCCCCCTACCCTGATTCCCTTGTAATAATTAAACTAATATTATACAGGAATCATTCATCACGTGCTTGGAGGAAGAGGTCAAACGAAGCTGACCTTACCAGGTCTATATGATTTAAAGTCGGATGCCGACAAGAGAGGCAGTTATTTCAAAAGTAGAAAAAAAAATTAAATGATGCAATGCGATCTCAGAAGTTAGCTATAACATAGAATATACGATTACGTTTGATTCTGGTTACGTCTGGGAAGTCAAGCCAAAAGTGTTCGTTTATGGTTAAGGTTTTTAAAATAAAACAGTAATGAGTCAAAGAAACAAAAAAAAAGACACATTTACTTATTTCGGTTTATATGTTGAAAGTGTAGAAAGAATAGTCTGTGCTCTATACAGATATTATATTCTGTGTCTTTTTATAGTTTATTTCTTAATCTCACTGTGCATTTGAATATAAGTTATATATCACCAGCTGTTTGAGTATATATTGTATAGTCGTTAATTTGTCCTTTTTATGCTTTTTTATGTTAATAAAACGCACATCAAGAGACTAATCGTACAGAATCATTATATATGTGTGTGTGTGCGTGTTTTTATGTAAACAGAATAATTTCGTTACCTTGTATTTATATTATTATGTCCTAGAAATTGTGGCTTTCTCTGTGATATTCAAAGTGTTTGAAGTTATACTATTTTCCAAAACTATAACTGTTTAAACACAAAAAATGTGTTGTTCCTTTGTTAAGCTTATAGCTTTTAAAACTTGTTACCGAAAAATCAAAGAATTGTACGATAAAGCTGAGATATTTTCTGTACTTGTTGACTGTTATGTATGTATATTTTAAATGTTTGTATATATATGTATGTATGTGTACTTCACACTGTTATCAAATAAAATAAATACAAATATTAATAAATGAAATTTGGTATTAATGTTAGTGACATTGAATACAAAAAAAGAAAGCTTCTAAGAGAAGTTTATTTCAAATTTGAGCTGGCTGTCTTCTACTTTCCACTTTTACTGATACTCTTGTTCAGAAATCACAAATCCATATAAATATAATAGTACTGTCTGTTGTATGCCTCCTCAAGAGGAATTTTCACCAAATTTGGTATGGAGGTTCATTGGGTCCGTGGGAAGAGACATACAAATTTTCACTTTTGAATTTTGCGTTTTGCGGTTTTTATGGGCGTTTTTGATGTTGATGGATCTTCACCAAATTTGGCATGAAGGTTTGTTGGGTTCATGCGGAGATACGTGCAAGTTTGCGGTTTCACATG